TTGCATTTACAAGCTGCATCCCAAGGGACACAATGAAAATGGAATCTGTCAGTCCTCTCATCAAGGTGAGTTAAGACTTCACTTCCTCTGCAGTTGGAAGGCCACTTCAGGTTCTCGTGGATCAGTTGTGTATCTACCATCACACAACACTAGGCTGTAACTTAACAACCAAATGAAATCTAGCAACTGAACAGCTCAAGAATGGATCTATACCGAATTCAAACTTGGAACCTGTAAGTTTTGCCATTTCTATGTAGCTTTTCAGTTTTTTTGAACACTTGCCTGTTGAATTTGGCGTTAGCATATTCTGCAGCTAATGTGGCTAACTGTAACGTCAAGCTGTTTCTGTTGTGTATTGTGACATTAAGGCCACACGCCGTCGCCTGTATGTGTGTCTATTGCTGCAGTAGCCTATGAGAAGCTTACCTGGTCAATGCATGGCACGTGCAAAAAACATTAACTTGCTTATACCCGAAAGCATCAGTGTCCTGCTGGGCAGTGTCAAGCCCAGGCTAATACAAACCCATTCTCATTCAGAGATATACTTCACATTACTGCAATACTAGTATTAGTGACAATACCGCAGCTCCGTCACAGTTGATGTTACAGGAACAGTCAGTCTGTCTGAGATATCAACTACATAGCTGTAATAGTTTACAAACTTCTCAGAAGTGGATTTAGATGAAATTCCATACGAAAACTTGAAAATATAAAACTTTCTGTTGCTGGCCTCTGTCTGCCGCACACATTGATGATGCTGTGAATAGTGACGATTCTCTCTGACCAATCAGCAGTCTGTTATGTTTTCACGTCACATTTTAGTATCGCCTCAGCGCGCTTGGAACCTCGACGGAGGTGAGGTGATATGAAAAAAAATATATATAAAATATTCCAACAGACCACAGCTCTGTTCTGTACATTGAACTGCATCTGGGAATTTTACTTTCACTTATTCTGTTATGTAAATCTTATGCTGTTTGTTTGAACTGTTTTGTATGCTTTAAAGTAGTTATCCACTAATGTTTAATAGTGAATCATATTTCACCATTTCATTTTTATTTAAAAGTTTTATGTGAAAAGTAATGTAATGCAGTGAGGTAAAAAGTGAAGTTTCTTCCTCTGAGTACCAGAAATACTCAAGTAAACATATGTACAGTACTAAATGTTACTTTTCAGCGCTGAATTACAAAAGCAGATAGATCCTTCACCAAAGTAAAAATACTGACTGTCTTAATAAAGTTCATCCAGAAAATATTAAGAAACTAATTGAAAAGAAATCTCTTTGATTGGATTATTGATCAGATTTAAGTTCAAACTGACATAAAGAAGCAATTCTAGTTTCAAACTCATTTAGAGATGCAGTTACATGTTATATTTAAAAGTAAACAAATTAAGTGCCTCACATCAACTCTTGAAGATCAACCAACTTTACTTCTGCTCTTATTCCACCTCTCAAGGACTGTTTCGACTCCTTCGTCCCAGGTTTACAGTGAAACTCAGTTGTGAGCTGGGAGAAATTATTTCTGCTGTTTCTGGTATAACTAAGATAACAACAGTTCATTTTAACGAGGAAAAGATTTTAAACTTCTTACATTACCTTCAGCTGGAGGTTCAGATGGAGAAAAGTATCTGCGCCACAACACTCAGAGTAGTGAACTTGAACTTTAATTTGTGAGTGTTATTCATTAATCATATCTGTTAAAAAGTTGTGATAAAGATGCTGTTTGATGGCAGCATATAAAGCTAAAATGGCATGTTGGTTTGTAGGTACTTTGGGTTCTAGAAAGCATCTTTACTGAGTTTTGAACAGAAATCTCTTTAACTGAGAGTTGTTACTATGGAAACAGTAAGGTATGGTCATGTAAAAAAAGTTATTATCAAACAAAAGTGAAAAAATCCTTCTATCAAATGTACATGTTTTCTAAACAGGCTAAAATCACTGATTTTACTGCAGTCTGACATTTTGTATTCATACACATATTAAACCACATATCAGACAATAATAAACTGTAGTGTTGTGTGTTTACATTGTTAGGCAAATAGGGAATGTTGCTAGCATGCACCACAGTGAGGCCTTTCTCAATACGAAGTAGACCAAGTCCAGACTCACGTACCTGGGAGGAGTTGTACCATGTTGCAGCGTGGTCAGAGAACAGCCTGCTGCTCAGCGTCAGCAGGACCAGCGGCTGACGTCACACTGTCTCCATCAGTGGAGCTGAGGTGGAGCAGGTGAACAGTTTCAGGTTCCAGGCAATCAAGTCATCACAGAGAACCTGTCATGGATATCACACATGTCCACCTGGTAGACCAGGTCTCAGTTCAGGGACTTTTTGGTAAAATTAGGATACACAAGCTTACTGGAGAGGGTAGCAAGTCCAAACAGAAGCAACCGAGAAGCCAAGAGGTTAACAGAAATGGGGAAGGAAAAGAGTGCATGCAGACAAGTAAAGGTCCAGGTCCAGGATCAGGATCAGGTTAAATACTGTGGGGGGCAATTGGGGAATGAGAAACAGCTGAGCAGGTGGATATAGGAGCCAGGTGAGTGGGACAGGTGGGACAATCTGAGGGTATCTGAGGGATGGATGGACAACAGCCAGTCTGCAGCCACCCAGAGCATCACTGGTTCCATCTACAGAATATCAGTGCTCTCGGAGAGGCACGTTTATCTCTTCATGTGTACTTTAACTGAAGTGAGAGCATTTCTACATGTTTCAGGGCAGATGTGATCAAAGTCAGCAGCTGTTCCTCACAAATCACACTTTTTCTTTTCTAACATCAGAAAATAGAAATGTCCTGAATCCAGCGAGTGTGAGGCAACATCAGATGTCTCAGCAGTAAAGCTGAAGGATCAGATCTGATCTGTATCTGGGAGGAGCAGCTGCCTCAGGGATTGATCACATGTGGCTTGGCAATCTCACAGTTTTCAATACAAAGAACCAGAACATGTGGCGAAGGTCTGCCGGGCCCTGATGGTAACTGTTCCCACACTTTATTTGTTGGTGCACATTTGGTTCCAAGGGAATGCACTGTAAGTATTAATCTCTTCAAACATTACAGGCTGACGGAGCCAGCAGATTTATTTTCTCTTCAACAACAAGGAGATGTTTCCATGAACTACATTTTCATGTTATTTCTTCAAATGTATGAAGACAAAGGAATAAACAGAAACAGCACCACATTAAAACTTTAACATGCAGCTGACCACAGCTCACAGTTTGTAGTTGTAATACAACATACTTTTTCAGATGCACAGCGTTCAGAAATAAGGACAGTCAGAGCGGTGGGGGGAAGATGTGTGGCTGGAAACATCTGAGCCCTCAACACTAAGACTGACACTGAGACGAGCACAAGAGTCACATCAGACTGGACAGTGAGAACCACTCAGCTTTTCTGGAGACACCCGAACGTGCCAAGTAAGATCCAGAGATGCCTGAAGACCAAACAAGACTCTTTAGACAGAAAACATATAGAGCACTTCAAGCGACAACATAAAAAACTGAATTCATACGTGATACCATGAGACTTCCTGCTACAACTCGCCTCTCATGAGATTTCAGAGCAACACTTGACTTTGTACATTATTAAAAAGCATGAATGTGTCTTCAAGATTCTATTAAAATAAGAGTTCAGTGTAATTTAAATATAAATACTGACATCAATTAACCAATCAATCTGTTTTAAAACCTTGTGGAAAAGAAACGTCATCTCTTCCAGCGTCAAGAGAAAGCCAGCAGCAGCCTGAGAGCAGATAAAGGGATTAAATGAAGAATCAATCTTGTTATTAGAATTGTATTGATGAGTGCTGTTACCAACACAACACAAACATTTATCTGGATGGAAGTGGACTCCCAGAGAAACTAGCATGATCACTGCCCTCCAGTGGTCACTGTCAGTAACTGCAGCACTGTCAAAAAACCATGATGTTCACACTGACATTATTCCACATTCACTGTATTTTAGCACTAATGTTCCTCAGGCTGATGAGCACGCTCTATATGTGAACACAGGGATTATTAAAGTGCTAGAAACACTGAGCTGCATTTCCTCCTTCCTGTAAATAGTGAAATGCTTTCACACTAGAAACAAATTAACCTATGGTGACTACCTATTTTCAGACAATGGTTTCACACCTGTAATTTTGGTTAGGATTAAAGTCCAAAAGAAAAAGGATTAAAGTCCAAAAGTCCAGACCAAACCAAGATGAACTGTGACATTTTACTCCTTTTGTTTGAGACTAAGCCAGACAAATCTTGGTCTCTTTTATGTCTTCCTGCAAGTTTCCCTCTTAGGTCTTCTTTAACTGGCCTTAACCATTTTAGATTCGAGTTCAGTTTAGACTCCAACGCTACATCATATGTGTTGGTCAAAATACTGAGCTACTGTCACCTGATCCGTCTAACTGTCGTCTCCCTAACGAGGTCAGTTATATGTGAGAGAAATAACGTGACATACATACAATATAACATACAGTTGTCTTGCCGTTCCCTGTTAAATGAACTAAGCCCCTGAGAAATATCTTTAACACCCTTTGTGTTGCGGTCTTTAACTTCCTGTTTTGGTGTCACAGATGGTGTCAACATTTTGTGTTTCACCATCAGTCATTTTGTTCACCCTTCCTGTTGTATTTAGTTGGACTGCTCTTTGGTTTCGTTGCTGGTTCATTGTTTCTTCCAGAGTCAATACCTGTGTTTTATGTTCCGTGTCACAGGATTACTTCTCTTGTTTCTCCTGTGTCGATATTTCCTGTCGATTCAGATTCCTGGGTTTTTTGCACCTGGTTTGTCTCTGGGTTACCTTGCTTTTGATTTTTATCCAGAAACGAGCAATTAGAAAATGTGCTGAATCGAAAATAGATTTTGATTCTCGATTCAAAATGGATTTGTGAGATCCTGAAATATTCTCACCCCTACTTGTTCTACTTGTTCTACTTGTTCTAATTGTTCTACTGAGCTTTCAAAAGTGAGAATATAAATGTGTGTGAAGAAAAACAATGCTGAAAATAAACACACAGGTTTAATAAAACTTCTCTGGATAAATAACAGTTCAACATGAATCAGTCAGATTTTAATGTGATGAACATCTAAACTCTTTGAGTAGAGGGTTGTCGTCTTTTAAAATCATTGATGCGATGCTTTGACTTGTCTTTCTTGAAGGACACACAGCTGGGTTCAGGTTCAGGTTCAGGTTCAGGTTCATCCAGGTTCAGGAGAGGCCGGTCGCCCATAGATCCTGTTAGACAGAAAGGAAAAAGGGATCAAAGTTCAATAAAACATGAAGCTGATGGATTTCAGTCTGTCTATCATCGGCTCATATCCAAAATATGGACCAAACCGGGGCTGAATTCAATCTCAAAACGTTTTGCACTGGTTTGGAACATTTTCGGATCGACATGTTTCCTTGCAACTTTGTTCAATGTTCTGCAACAGGCTTCGAGGTACGTTTTCTCCCATTAGGTGGGCGTGTCTCAGGTGTTACCCAGTCAGTTTGTAAACACAACGTTGTTAAAAAGGCAGGAAAATGCAGTACGCTTGCGTACACAGCAGGGTGTTGAGTGAACAACCGTTTCTGTTGAAAAAGACACGTTTTGTTGGTGCTGAACTCGCCACAGAACTAATGTACTGATCTCTGAGCAGATCTTACTGACAGATCACAAACTAAACTGTTTCACCTGTTTGTATAACTAGACTCACCACAAATATCATGGAGTTATATATATAACTAAAGTTCAGGAACAGGACCATGCCTCTCTCTCACTAACCCAACCTCCTGCGCCTCATTCAATTCCTCCAATCCAGTCACCCGCACATACAAGCCTGTCTAATGCCTTTCTCTCCCGTTTCCACATCCCTCCCCCCAAACCCTTTTTGGGGCAAGCCTTTCTGTGTGGTGTTTGTACGTTTTTCCCCGGGTTTGAGTGGGTTTCCCTCAGGTGCTCCTGTTTTCTCCCACTATTAAAGACATGCATGAAACACCATAATTGTGCCAAAGTAATACATTTTTTCTACAACAGGAGAAGGGTGATAAGCAAGCTCGAGACGAGCCCCCACACTGAGCAACCACGACACCACATCCACATCGTGTCTCTTAGCTGCTGAGACTTATAAGTCTCCAGATCATTTTTCAAGGAACTTAAAGGTTCCTTCAGCCCACTGTTGCGTTTCCACCGTCAAGACCTGCCAAGATTAGGCAAATTAACTATCTGGCGTAGGCTATAGGCCTGTACGCCGTACAAAGCGATGCACAGGCATCATTATTTTTAACCACTATCCATGAGCAACATTTATTATTAATACGATTTAAATTTAATATAAATAAATACTGGAGTTGACCAGGTACCATCTAGGTTCTCAGAAACCGCCCAGGTGTCCCAGTCGATGTCGAGGCAGCGTGGATCGAGGAAGCTCTGGAGAAGAGGCAGCAGACGGGGGGGCTATGAAGGTGGGGAGCTGGATCTCCTTGTACACACAGCAGGAGTACTAAGAACAGTACAAGATACAGTAAATAAACAGCACACAAGTACTACTACTGACAGCGCTGCTGGCAGTAGTAGAAGAAGAAAAGGTGCAGTACAAGATTATGTAGTAACTCTAGATATAATATTTGTAGGGATAGTAGAAGTTGTAAAATTGATCTTAACACTAGCAGTAAGTGTAACAAATACAGAAGTAGTACCAGTAGCAGAAGTTCTATACTTCTATGTTCTATGCTCTCATTCTATGCATCAGATAGTCCAGTAAACTGTATCTGTCCCTATCAAATTAACCATAAATTAATAAAAAGTATAAGTAACGATAAGAGCAAATCTATTACAGTAGCATTATTCCTGCCTAGCAGTTGTGGTAACAGCAGTATTGGCAGCAGGGGCAATTCTAGGATCAGACCTTTAGGGGTGCTCAGCCCCTAATGAGAATGCAGCATGCATTCAATGCCTTGCAAAAGTGTTCACTAATTGGTGGACAGTATAAGTAGGCCCACTAGAGAGGAGCTGGTGCAGAGCGGAGCGGGTCAGTCAAGGGCGTCTCTTTGTGTTGAAAAGTGGTGAGGACATAAGGGTTCGGATTAGGGGCGTGATGATACATTTGGGTCATGAGATGTGACGATGCATGAGAACAAGACAAGAAGACTTTTAGCACTATTTAGATTCAATATTTGATGCTGAAATATATGTGAGAGGGATCTGGGGGTCCTTCCCCAAAAGATTTTGAGCATTAAACTTGTAATTTCCTGCATTCTGGAGACATTTTCTGCTCCAATTTTCAGTGGAAATGTCTGCTTTTATATGAGGGAAAACTATAGAGCATTGCATGTTTTCTTATTGTGCAAATCAACCTTTCTCAGACCATTTTCATCTGTTAGTTAACTTTTCTTGGTGCTGTTTTTCCAGAACATTTTTAACAAATGCTTTCTAAAAGTGATGGGGACAAAATCAGCCATTTCAAAATGTGGTGGGGAAAAATGTCCCCAGCGTCCCCAATGTAAATGACACCTGTTGGGTGTCTCCCACAGCACCTCCCACAGTATCTCCCGGTGGACCCGGTCATGTGCCTTCTCCAGGTCTACAAAGCACATGTAGACTGGATGGGCACACTCCCAAGCCCACTCCAGGATCCTTGTGAGAGTTTAGAGCTGGTCAGTTGTTCCACGACCGGGACGAAACCCGCATTGTTCCTCTTCGATCTGAGGTTGACTATCGGCCGAACCCTCCGTTCCAGCACCTGAGTAGACTTTACCGGGGAGGCTGAGAAGTGTGATACCCCTGTAATTGGTCCCCCTTTTTGAACAGGGGAACCACCACCCCAGTGTGCCAGTCCTTGGGCAATGTAACCGACTTACACGCAATGTTAAAGAGACGTGTCATCCAAGACAGCCACTCCACACCCAAAGCTTTTAGCATTTCAGGCGGATCTTATCAATCCCTGGGGCTTTGCCACTGTGGAGTTGTTTGACTACTTCAGTGACTTCCTCCAGGGAAAATGGCGAGCAACCCCCATCAGCCTCCAGCTCTGCCTCTACTAGAGGTTCCCCCGCTTCCCCCTCCTATGATGGCGGACAGTTCTCCAGAAGCACTTTGGTGTTGACCGAAAGTCCTTCTCCATGTCTTCACCGAACTTCTCCCACACCCGCTGCTTTGCATCTGCCACAGCAGAGGCTGCAGCCCTTCGGGCCCGTCGGTGCCTTGCATCCGCCTCCGGAGTCCTCCGAGACAACAAATCCTGGAAGGCCTCCTTCTTCAGTCGGACGGCTTCCGTGACCACTGGTGTCCACCACTGTGTTCGAGGGTTCCCGCCCCTTGAGGCACCTCAGACCTTGAGACCACAGCTTCCCGCTGTGGCTTCAGCAATAACTCCAGAGAAGAATAGGGTCCATCTCCTATCCAGGGGTACGGTTCCAGAACCGAGACTGTGAGAGGAGGTCAGCCCCACCAGATCTAACTGGTAGCGCTCCATCTCCCGCACAAGTTCCCGGCTCTGCCTACTCTACGCAGGGTACTGCAGCTGATGTTGAATTTTTTTGCGCATTTGGCAGCAGCCGTCTGAAGAATGGTGTTTTTTCGGCCCGCAACACAAGACACAGGTAACAGAGGGGGTGGGGGCTGGTAAGAAATGTGAGTGGACCAGCCCAGTGTCAGTATAGAAAATTACCCAATGGGCCGCTCTCTGTGCTTTATGGGCCGATCGTTGGCCCGTTTTTAAAAAACAGTTATATAAATAAATAATGCACGTTATAGAGTTCCTAAAGGTGCGTCCCACTGGGCATTTGTTTGGTATGCCAGATTACCAGTCCACCCCTGACTACAGCCGACCAGTCTACCAGCACGGTCGCAGATCATTCAGTAAAACATTAGAAACTGAAAAATGTTGAATGTAAGAACAGCCATATGAAACTGTAGGTTGTCCCTTTTCTTACTTCTCCCAAAAAACTAATGTTAGAGGACAAAACTATTATTTTCAGAAAATAATAGTAAATTATTTTATTTTTTAGGGGTACTTCAGGATCTAACCACCCCTGAAAATGGTCTAAAATCGCCCCATTGGCAGTAACAGAGTAACAGAGGTAATAGTAGCAGTAACTAGTTGCAGAATTAACAGTAGTAATGGCAACAAATATTAGCAGCATTGGTACAAGCAGTAGTAGTATAAGTATTAGTATTAGTAGTACAATAATAGTATCCGTAACAAGTAGTAGGCTAGTATTCGAATATATATCCATTGATAGCAGCAGGTTGTTTACCTGTGGTGTCTTCAGGGTCTCTGGGTTCTCACAGGTGAAGGGTGAAGCCTCGTTCACCTGGCAGTTGCAGTTCTTCCTCTTCAAACACGGAGACGCAAAAACCAAACCTGCCCACAGAGCATCAGGAGAGTCAAACTAATACCACGACACTCTGAGCTGCAGACGATCACTGTTTAACTGTCCATGGAGACAGATTTGCTCATTTCTTACAACAAATCTTTGCACGAAGCAACAGAAACAGGAGAAGTTCACCACCAGCTTGCTTTCATGCAAATGTCCTTCACTTTCTACTTGGTGTGGAAATAAGTTTCCTACACAAGATCTGTGGCTGGCAGTACTGAATCCATGTTTATATTTATGAGATCTGATGAGCATCTCCTGTAGCTGTAGGGATCTTTTAGTCAAAATACTGATGAAGGATGAACAGACTCACCTATTATTACCACGATGAAGAGGACGTTCAGGGCGAACAAGCTGAACACGACGAGCTGCTGGTGGTTGTTTGCTTCAGAGTCGTTGGTGGACAGAGTGACAGTAGGAACATCTGCGAAAAGAAAAGTGACAAATATGAACTGTTGATCTGATGAGATGCTTCAGAGAATTAAAAGAAAACAAATTCATGTAACATTCATCTTCATCATCATCTTCTTCAGACAAAGCGATGATGGTAGGCTTTTCAAATGTGGTCATTCAGAGCAGGAGGCTGTTTCCTGAAACTGCAACAAAGGAAACTGTGGCTTTTTACAACTTCTGATATTTTACCCTCACATTATTATTGACAAATAAAGCTATACTTGCAACCTGTGGCTGCCAGCATTAAAGAAATATAAAAGAAGCTCTTGTTAAAAGCTGTGGTTCTTACCTGAGACCAGGCGGAAGGCGTCTTTAAAAGATATATTGCCTTGTATCTTCACGCACAGATGTAAAGTCTGCGGTCCTCTGATGTGATGTTTGTTATCACAAGTCTGTTTTCCAAGGCTTGATATTTAGTTTTCAAAGTGTTTTCAAAGCAGTAATGGCTATTTCGGCATCCTTACCGAAAGAGCGGGCGACGGGCACTCTGACCTGGCTGTGCATCTCCATGTACCAAAATACGTCTGAAGCGTTCCAAGAGCAGTTTAAGGTGACGCTGTGCCCCAGCTGCCCTTTGACCTCAGTCAGGTTCTCGGCCTCGGCGCACAGCAGAAACACCGGGAGGATCATCCAAAGCAGATCCATGATCACCAACGAGTCTGAAAGCCGGAGCTGCTCTGATCCGACTCTGCGTCTTCCTCCACGGCGAGCAGAGCGCTCTGACTTCCTATTTCACAAGGTGATTGTTTTGAATGTTAGACCTGAACCTGCAAATACCAACTTTTGTGAGATGCTCAACAATCAGAAGTGAAACTTCAGGTGATCCATGCTGTGATACTCAGAGTTGTAGTACTACTTTACTTCTAAAATATTATTATATTACTATTATATACTATTAGAACAGTAAAACAGGAAGTGAAGCTCTGAACACGTCACATTCCCACAACAACACAAGAGGCCGGCCTGATGTCAGACCCAGTGGTCTGACTCAGCTCAGACCACAAGAGTCTCCTGGGTTATTTTTGTACACAGATCGGACTCTAAAAACTCTGCAGCACCTTTAGACATAAAGTCCCACATCCTGTCTTATAATGCAAGATATCTGCAGGTCTAAAAAAGTAATTTTGTTTCTTTAAAACAAAAGCCTAAGAAAGTCTTGAACTGAATAAACAAAAGTCTTAAATCTTGGCTGCCGTTGGCAGTATAGATCTGTGTCGTGGAAACTGTATCTTGCTGGTGAGGGATTATGGAAATAATTGAGTAACAACCAACCATTGTCTTTGAAGAATTTATTTAACAAAAGCGAATAAACAGAGAAATACTAAAACACATATACAGCTGGTCCAGAGACCTGCTGCCTAGGGCGGCTTCGGGCGTCTGGCCCCGAGCAAAGAGATGCATCATCATTTACACAGTCTAGGTTTCTATGTTTTGGGGAACAGAGATCCTCTCTCAGCCTTGAATGAACATTCAATGAGAGGAGAGTAACAACAAGAAGAAAACACCAAAAGAATCTCACAACTCTGACCTAAACCCTAGTAAATGTGGAAAGACCAACATAAGGAGGAAAGGAAAGGATATAAAAACACAATACATACAGTATATATCTATAAGACATGACAATATTAGTAGTAATAAAAATAGTAAAAGAACATACATAAAAGATTAAATGTAAGAGGACACAATTTTCTGCCATAACACCAACACTTACATAAAGCCTGTTGACGCGGTAGTAGCTGATTTGTAGCCTATTATTATTTTTATTGTTGTTATGGACATCTATCTATTGGTGATCTATTTTATTTGTTTCTTGTTACATAAACGTATTGGGATCCTCCCAATCCTAATTAATCCTCCGATCCTAATTAGTTCATCCTCACTGGTAGTATTAGCCTATAAGGGGAAAGACGACAGCTGGGGAGTTTTTTACATTTGAATGAGGGAGTGAAATAGTTTAGTGACCAAATAAGTTGTGGGAAACAAATGTAAGGCATTTTTTGGTGCGTGTGTTGAAAGTAAACAACGAAAAATGATTTTTTGACTTTCGATCAATATACTGAAGTTAAAGATCTCAGAGTGCTTTTTCCTTTAGTGGTGAGACGCAAACCTCCAAAAACGACAGTCACCAGTATAAAATGAGTCAGAGTCTGTTTAACCAAGTCACTAAACTAAAGCCTCACAGACAGAGTAAAGACAATCTGCACGTCCAGCCGATCAAACCAACTACACTTGAAGCAGCTGCAGCTGCAGCCGGAGGCTCCATCAGTGACACGTGATGTGAACAGCAGATAAAACTGTACAGAGAAGAGTTAAATGATACCAGGAGATGAACCCAATGGAAAGCCAAGCTTGTGCCGATAAACTTGCAACAGTGACAAACATGCCTGAGGCCGCAGTCGAAGGTGAGCAGCTGTTAAAATCAGCATGGACTGAGCACGTGCAGGCCTGTTATTTACAGTTTATGGTGCAGGCACATAAGATGAAAAGTGCGTGCTGTTTTCTTTCTTTCTGTGCGTGTTTGGCTGCAAGCAAAATCACACAAACAGTCATTTGCTGCAATCTGGTTACAAAAAGTATCAGTTGAAGTTCTGGTTTGACTGGAGACGTTTGGATTGTACTCGATACCGGGCTGTTTCAGTCGATACCATAAAGGTACCGAGTAGCGATACCCATCACCATTGGTTGTTAATGTAGATCAGGTCTTATGTGATGTGATGAGATGTCTTCTGTCAGTTTGGTCTGCCATCGTCGCCAGTTTGTCAGTTTACCTCCCGTTGTGCTCTGGCCAACTTTTGAATTTCAGTCTTGTTGTGTACCTACTTGATCAGCTCCTAACGCTCTGTTCTGTCTACTTCTCAGAGTGTCGAGACAGAGAATTTGTGTTACCAGAAGGAACAGAAAGGGGCTAAGGGGACAATCTTGTCTTATCCCACACCAAAATCAAATCTAGGGGTTGTGCCATGTGCTAACTTGACTGAGCTGTTGCACCCTTTATAAAGTGTTTTGGCAGCCTTTAGAAATTGGCTTCCAAATCCAAAGCATTTAATGACTTTAAACATAAATTGAAGGCTTATTGTGTCGAATGCTTTATAAAAGTCAACAAATAACATAAAACTATTGACCATATATTCATTATAATCAATCATGTCTAGAATTAACCGTATGTTGTTGCATATATTCCTTCCAGGTATGAATCCAGATTGTTCTTCATCGATAATATTATCCAATCCTGATTTTAATCTTTTTGCAAAGATCGAAGCGAATATGTTGGCATCATTATTTAATAGACTAATTGGCCTCCAATTCTCAATACTTAATTGATCTTTTTTTGGGTTGTGGATCAATTTGATAAGACCTTGACGCAGAGTAGGTAGTAGCTCCTTTTTCTCTGGCTTCTTCAAATAAAGACACTAAAAATGGTGCTAATAACTTTATAAAATTCACTTATGAACCTGTCATTCCCATGGGATTTATTTTCTTTAAGAGAGTCAATACAATTTTATATCTAATTTTCTGTACACAGACTGTCATCAATACATTTACTGCTTTTTTCTATATTGCCTTCGTTTTCAGAATCGGTAGCATATAACGTCTGATAGAAATTGACTACAAATTGCAAAATTGTTCTTTCATCTTCACAGTCTGTGTTGTTGGTTATAAGTTTACAAAGTGATGATTGTTCATAATTTCTTTTTTCTAGATTAAAAAAGTATTTAGTGCATTTTTCACCTTATTCTAGTACTTTTGTCTGGATCTGACAAAGGCACCTCTGGCCTTTACTTCATATATTTTGTCCATTTCCAGTTGTAGAGATGACAGTTCTTGCAGTTCTTCTCCAGATAAATGTACTTTCTCTAATAATCTTATCATATCTGTAATTATCCGGGACTCTTTCTTTTCCTTTAGCAAACCGTTTCCCAAATGAAAACGTATTTCATTAATTCCCAGCATTTTCCAAACTTGTTCAATAAATTTGCTGCTCTCCAATATTTGGCTTATTTTCTAATTGTGTTTTATTTAATTTCCAATAGTCCTTATTAAAGTTACCTCTAATCAATGTCATATTTACTACTACTTTAATCATAATAGCCTTATGATCTGTAAAAATAGTGGGGCTCTATTCTCACTCCACCTTGTCTTCTACATCTGAGGAGATCAACCAGAAGTCTATGTGTGATCCTTATTACTCCAAGTATATATTCTTTGGTTTAAGTGTCTATGTAATAGACTTAAACCAAAGTTTAAGTGATATCCATCCTACCCAGGGGGGCTGCCAGGAATTTTGGGCCCCATGACAAAAGAATCAAATTGGACCCCCTCTGCACAGAGCTGTCACTACTTCTCTAGGACTTAACTGTCCAATCAAAAGCTTTACATAACTCTAATTAAAGTCTTGCAAGTGTCTGGCTTCTAGTAGTTTAATATCAGTACTAGCACAATATTTACTGCTGGTGATTTGTACATGCAAGTCTGCATACAGGATGCAGTTCACTATTTGCTTCTCAAATGAATTGCCCTTCATGATGGGAATAATAGAGTCTGTATCTATAGATCTCATTAACGGCCTAAATTATGTATCAAGCTGCATTATTTTAATATAGTCTGTAACATACATGCAGGCTGAGATAAGCTGCTGTCCAGCATCCAGTACAGGAAGGTGTTTTCTTATTTTATTTATTTCATAATGATCATTATGTGAGTAATTTGTGTTTGAATGTCTGTCATTAATAAACATTTCATTGTCTTTTTTTGTTCTGGTAAAAAGAGTAAGAGAGACAGATGAATGATGCTAACTGGCATGTCGTTAACACAGTGTTGCTCCCCTTCTTCACTGGGACAGGGAGGCTACAGTTATGGGCAGACTGGGCTGCTGCTGACTCATCTGTTGTTCGTCTGCTAAAAGGAGCAGGGACAATGATTTAATATGAATATCTTGCTAAACATTTCCTTGCACTGATTAAATGGTGATGAACTGTTGCCTAACCCTAGTCTGTAGCTAGCTAGCATATTTCACTGTGAACATTATGCTGCGTTCCATTTCCGTCGTAAGTCGGATCTGGGAATGATGTCACACCCGAGTGGCGTTCCAGTTAACAAATCAGAAAACCTCGCTCAGCCAGCTATTTACAACTAGCCAGGTTGATAAAAAAACAAACACAAAACGCATTGTGCGGTGTTTACTCACACTAAACACTGTAGCAACACGTCCACATACAGCAGCTGGACAGCACTTTGTGTAAGAACATTTATATGAGTCACAAGTACACTGAAGTGCTAATAAACACAATAAACTACAGCTTTCACTAACTGTTGATACCCCGACAGCCATCTTGGATCACAAAGTCGGGGTAGTGCGGTTCTCCCGACTTCCCGAGTCAGGAGTCGGACTTGAGGGGCCGTTCCCTTTGAAATTTTGACCTTTGAACTCGGAAATTCCGAGTTCCCATGTCAAACGGAACGCACCAACAGGTTAACACCACCCACAGACTAAAGGCTGCCCACCTGTCTTGGTGAAAAACTGGGTTACAGATTGACATCCTGTCCTTTGTCTTTCCTCTCTCTCTTTTCTCTTTCCGTCTTTGAAAAACAGATTTTGGTACAATAGGCAACATTGTGATCTCTGTATTTCTGGCGCATCTACTGACTGCAACTAAACACCTTCACTGATGTTTGCGCTAAGGCAGGACCAAACCAACAAATTAATAATAAAATTGTATTCTACTACTATGGTGTAAGCTAAGTTAAAATCAC